GCATCGTGTAGCATTCCCTTACACGATCGTCAGGTGACGCTGCCTGATGATATTGAAACTCTGTGTAGCAGTCCGATACTTGTATATCGTTTGCGGTGCCTTCGCTCGCGCTAATACGGAAACGGAACATTTACGGTACCAGTACACCTGCACCATTTGCAAGGGCCCTAGGGCTAGCATGGTGTCGTCTAGTTCAGCTGTCACACAACTACAGTAACTTGAAAGGTACATGTACGACTCGTACAATATTGTGTTACAAGGCTTAGTTAGTACATGACATTGTACATGACATTGTACATGTACTGACGCTCTGACAGGAGTACAGTCACGCAGTTGTCAAGTAACGAGGCACTGATAGTAGCTGCGCGTACATGTCTTTTCACAAGTTGTCAGTGAAGGCAGGATACCACTTTTCCCTGGCTGGTGACAAGCGATGACATCACAATAAAACATCTGCTATTTTCCAAGGAACAGTAGACTTCAATAATGCGTGTCGTGTTGGCGATTCCTCTCCAATCACGTCTGCCGTATTCGTCACAACTGCTTCCGACCTGTGGTAATGGTTGTAATTTTCTAGACCAAAATGTACAGCCGGGAGTCCGGGACCCGTTACCGTATCTCAATTAGTCACCACAACACCTCGGCGAAAGCGACAAGTTAGCTAATTCCGTCTTCGATGATCTTGAACCATTTCGGTCAGGGACAGGTATACGTAAGATAACAGTGCATATCCCTTGTTACGTTTGCATCGACGGAAGTTCATGCAGTACCAGCAAGCGAGAAGACAAAACAGGATATTCTGTATGGAATGCATGTATCCTTGCCTCTTGAAAACACTCCATTGAATGGTGGTACAAGCAGACTACAACAATAACTGAAAAGGTGCCCAAAGTCAAACCAATCAAAATCTCTAAAAAGAGAAAGAAGGAAAGGTCAACGCCCGCAGACATAGGACCCGTAGACATGGACAATCGAATGAATGACACCTCCGTATGTACATTGTACATTTGTGAGACTAGCTAGCGAGAGGATGGACAATGTATACCAACGCTTATTCAGCGGACAAGTGCCAGACAAAGCTAGGGAAGAGCAGCTTCAAGTCGAACACAGTTATTTCAGTAGATGTAACAATGAGCTACTTGTTATAAACAAGAGAGCAGAAGATACATTATCTCTACACGACCTATATGTATGAGTCAACAATGAGCTACTTGTTATAAGCGAGAGAGCAGAAGATACATTATCTCTACACAACCTACATGGATGAGTGTTAATTTGAAGATGGAAGAGTTACCGAATCCGATGCCTGTTGCCATTCTCACATGCAATGCCACTGTATGTGAGTCACCTCCGGTTTCCTTCTTCAACCGGACTCATTTTCTGCAACCGTTATCTCACTGATCGCAGTCCCTACTTTTGTGGCGCTTGTCTTTGTTTGCATTTCTATCATTCTTGCACATGTAGATGGGTCTCCATCCGTAAATCGCTTCAGGTGACTTCGTGGAAATATTTACGCTAGTATGGGTTTACTGATCTCTGTAGAGAACTGTTTTAAGGAAATAAGGGAGATAGGCAATATGTAGCTACACCTCCACTAGACTTACTTCTAGTACAGTCCCGAAGAATTGCAGTGCGCAAGGAAAAGGCAGAATAGGATACACAAGAATCGTCTATCGTTTGGTTCGTCTATGTTGTAACCTGTAGAGATGGTTGCAAGTTCATTTTCTTTTACCACGTTTAATGTAGAATGATGTTACTTCTCTTGTGTGATTCTTTAGTTTCTTCGCATGTTAAAGTTATTGCTTTTTATAATTCAAGAATGGACTCGGATGGAAAGCCTAGGATAAATTTATAGAAAGGAAAAAAGGACCAAGGAACTACAAGTTACGCTGTAATGTCCACTTAGTTAGTTGTAGAACGTCAGTACCTTCGATCAGTGTCATGCAATGCTATAGCATGAGTTGATTTTTAGTAGCTGCTGGTGGTATTATAGTGTAACTTGTAGTTCCTTGGTCCTTTTTCTTTTCTATATAATTGTACTGTACTCAATCTGTTGTACTATTGTACTGTATGTATGTATGTATGTATAACTCATAATCACAAGGTGATCGTAGAGGCATTAATCAGCGAGAGAATTGTGAATGATGTCTCTGAATCCAACTCTATCGTGTGCTGCATGAGAGAGAGCATGCAAGGGAAGACCCGTCCAACTTTTAATGTTAGAAATCCATGATGTTGCGGGCCTTCCTCTCGGTCGAGATCCAGGAGTTGATCCTTGCAGGAAGGGCTTGGAGAAAACGTCATGTCTCGTAACATGGCCAAACCACATCAACTTAAATTATAATTATGTTCTCTTATAACCCACTTGAGGGTGGGAGTGCCCCTGACAATATTATAGTGCTATAGTTTTCTGGTCCTTCTGAAGTGATATTATTATCGTGCATCGTATTGATTACTAATTCGGAGGTTTGGCCATTGGCCAACATTTGGACGATGATGAGACAGAGGAAATAAAGGAAGGCAATAATTATGTGGTAAAGGACGTGTGGATAAAAAATGCACACTCCACATTAAAGTTCCATGATTCGGTGTCCGACGTTGACTATTCGCGTGCAGCTCTTCAAGGAATTCATTCCAAGGGTAGGCAGCACGTGAAAGCGATCTAACATTTCCAGATGGACGTTGCCTGGAGCCAGTGGAGGGCACAACATCGCCCAGTTCAAGATTTGGTCCGTTGTGTCTGCCTGGCTGTCGCTTATGACGAGCAACGAAAAATGCCCGGCATTCAACTCAGATATCCATATCATGTAAGAATCTGCCTCGTTTCCCCCGGCTCTACAATATTCATGGGATCGGGTTTATCTGGCCAGGACTTACTGTTCGTGTACATGGACATGGAGGTGGGCAGAAACACTTGCTTGCTGAAGATGGGGCTTGGCGGACAATGCTGTCAAACTTTAATTGGATGATTATGCTGGAAATCATTGCAATGGGCAGAACTATACATGTAGTTGATTTGGGGGGAATTACTCGACTTCTGCTCCTCACCTGTGTCCAAACATGTATATAAAACATGCAATGAAAAAAAAAACAGAAAAGCCCCAAATTCTGCCTCTTTTTTCTGCCGGCATTATCCGCCAAAGGCTTGCTATACAATTTACATGCACATGTACATGTAGATGTACTGGCCAAGTAGACATCCTTTATTACCAACACACGATCCGAAGATGCATCCGCCAACATGGGGTAAAGTAAACTTCGCTTATAACGACACTCGGCGGGGCATCAAAAAAGTGTCCTTATTCGCGAAGTGTCGTTATACCCGAAGTCTCATTATATGTATTACAGTTGGAAGGGACTTTGCTCTGGGCATGGACATGCTGTCGTTATTCGCGAATTGTCGTTATATCCGCAGTCGTTATAAGCGAAGTTGACTGTACATGCAAGAGACCATGACATGTGCTGCCATTCTCTCTTCCCTACATGTGCACTGACGGAAAAAGAAATACGGAGCCAGCCTAGGATGGAGCGCCGCCATGCTTTGAGTAACTATGGCACCAAGAGTAGGGTTTCATGTTCTCTGGATTGCAAGCCAGCTTGAAGTGCTACCTAGCCTCCAAGGACACGGTCGGATTTCATTAGGAATACTGCATGGACAGTTTACATGACCGTAGTTTGTAGACTCAACAAACAATCCTTTAGGAACCTGTCATGTCATTGCTAGTGTGATGACGAAGGTCTTTGAGTACAAGACTATTGTTAGGTGTCCACATCCTAACACTACTATGCATGCTGCACACGTCAATTGCACATCGTTCTCACCCGTAAATCAGCACTGTAGTCGATACAAATGTCAGTGATAAGACCACACGGAAGCTAGCAGAGTGACATTAGCCATTAGGGTGTAATACTACTCAAAGCGGCGGGTTAGGGTATAATACTGCTTCGGGCTCTGCTATGCACCGCAAAGATTGCAGTGTTACAAACTCTCCGCCAGTGTTCATGAGTGTTCACATGTGTTCACGACACACACACACACACACACACACACACACACACACACACACACACACACACACACACACACACACACAATTGTTAACGTATCCGGGTCACTTAATCAACACAAGACACGGTTGGAGGAGGAGAGAGAGATAAGGCTTCTAATAACCGCGTGCTACCTGTGTTAGGTATCGGTTGGTGTATCCAGGTGACTAGTACTATTACATGACTGTAGACCAGGGGCTTGCGCATCATGGTGTACAATCAGTCACGTGTTTTTCTTTTTTCTTTTTTCTTTCTTTTTACTATTGACACAGCCCTACTGGAAAACAGGTCGAGAACAAAAAGAAACGAGGAAAAGGTACTTCTCTAAACCCTATCCTGATCACAGTCGAGAGACTAGAGACCTTCATTCCGTACGAAACGAACACCAGCTGATGCTCATTCGCTTTCTGGATTCTAGTGTGCCTCGGTGCAGTGTAGGATTAGGTGCCATTTCGTTGGATCGGAGAGGGGTTCGCACCGTACTGGATAATAATATGTGTGGTGGCGTGCAAAAGATGTACAGTCTACCTGTACCGTAAACTACGGTAAAGATGCTCCTTACGTGAGACCTTAGCAGCGCACGTGATATACGAGGATACGTCACATCAGAAAGTTATAATTATTTTTCATGCATGTGTATGACTATAGTACCGTGACTGCAATCGATATGCTACCATACGTCTACACGGTACACGCAGCTGGTAGTATAGTGATAGGACACAAGCATCACGTCCCAACCAGCCGTGCCACACTGCTGCGCCATGCTCTGGGGAAAATGACACCCCGGCCTGCCTCTGACTGGCTACTTGGTCATGACAAATTATTCATGATTGACACTAGCAGTCTAGAACTTTTAAAAAATTAGTTTTAAAAAGAATTCACGTTTGGCGTGTGATCCAGCCAGCCTATGTTTCCGCATCTGCTGGAACGCCACCACTTTGAATAGAACGATCATGGCGCAGCTGCAGCTGCTAAAGCTGGTACTCATGATACAGTACTACATGTACGTCCGAAGAGTGAGTGTGTCGTACCGGATAGACAGATGAAGCCGCTTTTACGGGCAAAAGAAACACAATGGACGAAAATGCAATACAAAATACGGATAGACGTATACAGCAGTACCGAAAAGTAGTATAATGGTCCACTCACTGACATGCAGCATGACCAGAACAATGGACGGAGTAGATGTACAATAGTGCGTCAAATGCCCGGAATGGGCAGAGCGTAGTACGCAAGAGGTACACGAAAGGAAGTAAATAGGGCTAGTTTTTGTTTTAATTTAGAGTTTCATGGCAAAAACCAATCATCAGACAACATAAGGAGATTAATATTATTGTACATGATTGTTCACATACATGTACATTTTGTACATGTACAGTGTATGTACATGTACATGTACAGTGTAGATGCGAGATGTAGGGGTTTGAATATTCAAACACGGTGAGTGAGTAACCTGTCAAAACAGGTGTCATGCATGACATGCCCGCCAGGTGCCTAGCTGTGTCTCGTGACAAAGGGCAACACCCATGTCTCTAGCCAGTATGGATGGGGCCTATGCCTTGTGCGCGAGTGTCCTGGCGATCGATGTGCCTAAGTCGAAGGTCTACAATCATGTACCATGTAAGATTGCGGCAAATTGAATGGGTGGCAATGCAGAATGTCCACAAAAACACTTATGTAATGCCACGATCCTTATTGTTTTGGTCGCTCGCGTTCCTCTGGACACAATGCGTTGAATGTGCCACATTCCCTGAACAACTATGCTATGCATACTGCGTGTTGCGGCCGAGGAAATAGACGCCAAAGGCCCGTGTTTGACTGATTTGGGACTATTTTTGCACGGATTCATAAATAGCTATGACCAAAATTCTCACACCGTCTACCACATTGCCACCAGGTTTGCATCGAGAAGTCTCCCAAAGGCACGGGCACGGATTGGCTGACAAAAAAAGAGCCAGTTGAATGACGCCTCTCGAGAGATCTCGCAGCCCCCCAGCCAAATGATTGTCGCCGAATGGAAGCAATACGGCATAAAGACAACAGCGCACCAGCGCTCCCATCATTTCCAGTCGCACCGCCCCGACTAGAGGATCACGGCTTTTTTTCACGTCCTACAAGTGTTTGGCAAAGCTAGATTGTTTGTTGGGCAAAGTGAGAATTGTTTGTTCGGCAAAGCTAGATTGTTTGTTGGGCAAAGTGAGAATTGTTTCATAGTAGTTCTTGATAGGTGTTTGCTTTCCCCAAGGTGTCAGAAGGTCGAAGATTACGGTAAATCGGCGCGAACAAGTGAGTACATGCCTATTACCCAGTGCTTTGTGACCAGATCAGGGCTCCCCTCAATGTGACGTGAAGCCATGACAAGTCAGCTGAGAATCAGAGACCATGCTGAGACCCGGCATGCTGCTGATGTGTTTATGATCAGGGTCGTTGACAAACTGCAGAATACATGTGCATGTGCGGACCCGTGTAGGGGAAATCCTGACATCCCTCTCGCCCTTCAAATGCGACTAGCCCCATTGGGTACTGTGCAACGTGGCATTCAAGGAGTGATTCGAGGATAGGTCCAATCACCACAATATCGCAGATATCGCGTGGTTTTGCACAACTTCTGCACCGCAAGCAGTATTGATCACGTCATGTAAATAGTATTCTGAATGAGTCTCCATCGTGCTCTTTGATTTGCCTTGTGTGTACCGCAGCTACAACTCTTCAACATGACAGCACGGAGCTCATTCAAACGCGTCTCCATAGACGAAAAGAAGGCCAGCAGGACCAGAGATGAAAGAGACAAATGTGGATCTGGGAAGCGCCCGCCCATCGGGACCAAGAAAAGTGAGCCAAGCTCCGCGGCACTACTGACTAGATGGCAATGATATGTGCTGCCAAATCTGTTGTGGTGCGGCCAGACCTTGCAAAGTCCGCTCTATGAAATCTGTGCGAGATAATCAAGGGTAGGCGCGGTCACTCCACCTGACATGGGCCACGGGTAGCTAGTGTATGCTGACAGATGCGAGAGCTCACTATGCGTGCACCGCCAAGGTCGGAAGGAATGTGACTGCAAGAGTGCACTTGCTCAATCCCTTAGGCTTCCAGTTTGTTTTCAAAGCTCACGATGCAAGGCTTCCGTTGGTGAATTCTGCAACATTAAACACAGGATTTTTCGTGCACAGCATCAGCAGCCGAGATGCTTTGTAGGTTGTATGAAGTGGTAGCGCCGAGGGTCAGCAATGCATTTACTGATGGGGCGGTCATTTCCTCTTTTTGGATACAAAATGCCTTGCGCCCGCAAGTAAATTCGCTGCGTACCATGAGCGAATGCGCTGATCTAACACCATGATAATATTATCTTACTCTCTGGGCATCAAGTAAGGCAAAACGTAGGGCATCATTGCCTATTGGATACATGTCAGGTCAAGGGAGCACTGTGATCGGGGAGATGGATATCCATCACGTTTGCTCCACGCACCTCGTTCTCATTCCGACATGGCCACTCCCTATTGGGCTTGCCGGTATCGCAATGGTGACGCTCGCTCTGCAACGGCATAGAGCTATGTTCGTTTTCCCTGTGTTGTCCTATGTGTTGTTCTAGGGCCGATGTCTTGGAGCGTACAGGACGTGGATTGTTGGTTGAGGGACCTGTTTAGTCGCAAGGTGCTGAATCGAGATGATCTGGACAACTACCTGGTTCAGCGCGAGATCGACGTAAGTGTTTTCATGGCATCTCAGCTAACAGGACAGTGGTGTAATGTGCTACGATTTCTACTAACGGATATTCGCCCCAGACTGAAACTTTGTTTCCCTCGAATGAAGTGAAGACACCATTGAACGGAGTTGTCGTGGTTTGTTTACCTACATTTGTACATGCACCTGGCGATGATTAGGCTGTAGGGAGTGTGCGCACCCTTAAAAGGATTATCCCGTCAGAATGCCAACTTGACGAACGAAAGACTATTCTACTAGTGTCCATATACCTCTGATGCCTTTGCTGTGGACAACTGTCGTTTCTGTCCAAGATATTCTAGCTCTTCACTGCCGTTGCCCAGACATTGCCCCACTAAAGTGCGATTACTAGGATTAACCTCACAGCCACAGCAGCGCTAAATGGACTTCAGTAACATTGTGGCGCCATCTGAACAGGTCTCAGTACATTCATGTACCAGGTCTAATGACCTTCGAGATCAAAAATGTCCTTCAGAAATCCTAGAAGTAGTGTTTGAGCGATTATAATGGGATAATCGAATATCAAACGTTTCATCTCTAACGGTCACGGTCACTAACCTAGAGACTACACACTCATACGTACCTACGTATCTGCATCTGGAGTCCAAATTATTATTCTGATCAAGGAAGGGACTGTCTTGTAAAAGCGAAGCTCTGATGCGGTCTACAAATTTGAGCACACGCCCATCAAGATCAATTTCCAATTTCCAGAGACATTTACAAACAACGAATCGGATTATGCTCTCTGTGTGTGATTGTGCTAACTCAGGTCTCCTACGCTCTGGACGGACGGACTTTGTTTGACATGTCGCTGTCGGACTTTAGCAAGTTCTTTGGTGGCTCCTCTCAGGTAAGAAAGGCATGACATACAAATGCATTTATATGCACGTGCAACGAGCATTTGTACTGAACCACTGGAGAAAAATAGGTGGTGCGAAGGAAACATGGGGCGTACGACATGAGTGTCATTACTCCCAGTTACATGCTTATTATCCTAGCATCAGATATCACTAGAGGTATGAGTTAATCCACTGCTGTACTGTACCGTAATAATCCGTGCCCTTCGAGCACCACCAAGCCACAACGAGTACATCGATTTCCACAAAGCAGTTGTATGACATGTATGTCTGTGTCCTTATCGTGCAAATCCCAGTCTTCCAAACCCTGTATTGTCCGTTAGTCGGTCTTGAAACATGTGTACCAACTAGCAAGCGTATCTAGTTTTGTAGTCTTTATTCCATTGGCAAGACAAACACGCATGTTATAAGATGATATCATGTATACTTCGAAGTGCAGGTTCTTCAACATTCGAAGGCCCAACTGAAGCCAATTAATGTGTTTTCTGTGTTCCCTGCAGACTGTGTTCGAGACGTTTCTTGTACAGCTTCAGCGAGACAAGGGCTCAGGTGAGTGCGCACTAGTCTGTGCAGCCTTTAAAGTCGACGTAGCGTCAGTCAGCAGTCCGCCGCCGGATCATTGCTTTTGGAAGAAACTTGATGTACTATATCAGCAACACGAGTCAGGTTGTACGTCTTCTTGTGGTAAACGCTGTGACACCAAAGGCCGTGAGCACTGTGTTCAGATAATGTACTACGAGGTATATTTTCGTGCTGTATTTTCAATATTTTTACTTTTAGTGGACGTTCCAAACAGACCCTAAGCTCTTCTTATAGGGTACCCAAGACATGCCGCGAGTTCATGGGCAAAGGAATGTGCACGGGTTTGATGAATTGTTGCATTGATAGACGAACAAATAATGTGTAGAAGTTTGAGGAAATTGTTCAACTGTTGCTGCTTGGATGACGACTACACCATAGCTTAGTGGTATAGCATCGCTGGCCATAACCGAGGGTCCCTGGTTCGAGTCCTGGTGGTAACAGTCAATTTTTCCTCTTTTCCCCTTTGCACCTTTCACTCAAACAAGTGAAAATGATGTGTGGTCAGATATAAACCACTACAAGAGGACGACAGTGTCGTGAACCTAACCTGAATCATAATAATTATGTGTGTGCCTTTACCATTTTTACCTGACCTCACAGATTTTGATTTCGTGACCTACTTCCGACAGCGCCTGAAAGACGAAAAGTCGACTGCAACTCAAGCCGCATCTCAAGCCTCGTGCAACGCCAGTCCCAATATTTTCCCCAGCAGTCTCGCAGCGAGCATCACCGGAGGTGTACCCATGAGCTTTTCGGAGACAGCCTGGCGTCAACCACAGGGCTATGCGCAGGCCAACTCTCAGTTCCTCTATTCAGCACAGCCACAGCAGCAGGAACAGCAACATCAGCAGCTGCAGGCTCCCATACCCATGCCAGTGCATGCTCTAGGTTCTCACAGTAACGAATTCAGCCAGGATAGCTTGGCTCATACGTGCACCGGTGTCGCCATGCTGCCGGAGATTAGCGGCTCCCTTGGCTGGGCTACACAGACCTCACTGCTACTGCCGCACGACACACAACGCGGACAGTGGACGGCGCCCCAGCACATTGCTGACGGCACGGCAATCTCAACGTCCTTGCCTTCTTCAAATCCACTCCAACGTACCTCTGCTAGCATGGGAACATCCTCTTGCACTGTACCAACTTTGGGAAATCCCCACCACCACGTGACTACGACTGGTAACTCGACACAAGCAGAAGGTAGTCCAGCATCAGGAGCGGCGCAATATCAAGCCTCCCTGACTTCCACCACACTCAACCTGGACCTAAGCATATCTCCAGCTACCAGCGTAGGCACAGGTAAAGCGACGCTGTGCCCGCCAGCCAGTCTGCCGCTATCCAGTCGACCATCGCAGCAGTCGTTGTTGCTCAACACCACCCACCTTCAATTCCCCTCCTCACCTTCATCCATGGCACAGGTATCCGAGCTAGGTTCTATGTGCAATGAACCGTCACGTGACTGCCAAGATCTTCTAGCCATTGAGCCTATGACCGGCCTCCAGCTTGGTAACATTTGGCCGTCTGACGTCATGCCAAACCATCCAACAGGAGGTAAAGATTGGGACATGACGTCATTCTATCCAGCATCGCAGCGGTCAGCATCACACGCACACTACAGCAGCGTGCAGGCATCGTTCGCCACCAGTCCGCTGGCCAGTTCCGTATTCTCAGACAGTAGCGAAGAGCTGGCTTCCACGTGTTTCTCCATGATCAGCCCGAACAACAACTCAGTCTTCGACGAGCCCACAAAACTACCGCCACAAGCCTTGGGCAGTCAGGTAAGCTTCAGGTCACCTGAACTACTACTAGTACTATACGCTTGTAGTAAGTCATTATTTTACTACATGTATGCAGTGGTTCTCTTGGTCCGCATTTCCTCTGCATCAGGATCCATGGTAACGCGGCCGTACTCTCTGCTAGCTCTGGTGTCCCACATCTGTAGGAAAGGGGGAAAGCCCACTTGTTTGCGATATTACACGTCGTACTAGTACTACCGTTCAAAGTGACACACCAGACCTCAATGCATCCACCTCAATATATCCCCCAATGCAGTCAGATATTATAGACATACAAACATGCAGACCAGGATACAAAAGGACGTGTACACAACCAGACAGAGGTCCAGAGTGAGACCTGAGCGAAAGAGAGAGAACATCTCTGTCCCAGGTGAGGAGATGCGACCAATCAGTGTGCCAGGATCACCTTTGTCCACTAGAACATCCATGTACACGTTTTGGAAGTAATAAACGGGTACTTAATGCGCAAAAACATGTACTACCTGACAGATCCCAAGTTACATACTGTTTACATTCCCCTTGGTTTATTTTAAACTCCTACATGTACATGTATGTTGAGCCAATAATAAATGTGGCAAGGAAAAGGACATATGGATACGAGTCAAGAGTAACTATCCATCACTGTAACTAGATACTATATACAGTCAGAAAGTGCAACAACTAGGCACAAAACCGACACTTTCTGACTTTATAATTATAGTATCTAGTTTCAGTGGTGGACAGTTGCTTTTAACTTAACTCATATCTATAATAATTCTTTTCCTTTCTACACTTATTTATTTACTCAAAAATGATATACGGATATTGAATGCTAGGACATGTTGAGCATACAGGATATTCACGTTGTTCTACACATTCTTTGTTCCATTGCAATGCAGGGAGCCAGCAGCTACAGCACTCAGGGTTCAATATCGTCATGCACAGCAGCAGATATCGGCGCACGCCATGACGTCTTGACGGCCACGGAGTTCCAAGGTAGGGTATCTGGCAGTGTAGCTGCCGAAGCCCCAAACACCAACACACATTTCGCATTGCATAGAGTGGGTGGTCTATGAGTACAGTACGTGTACATGTCATACTGTTGACGGGAATCCTCATGAGACCTGGCACACTGATTGGTCGCATCTCTTCACCTGGGACGGAAATATTCTCTCTCTTTCTCTCAGGTCTCCAGCAGCTTACATTAAATTTTCCTAGTAAACTTACATACACTTGGTGCATGTTTTGACCACTGCTTTACTCTCACCATTCTTTAGTACATTGCCCTGGTACGCCTGGACAGTGGAACCTGGTTTAACCTGGCAATGTCAAATCCAGTATAACATTCCCGACCATCCAGCCAGTCAAGAGCCATATTGAAGTGCATAATAATTATGCTGCCAAAATATGATTGTGTGATTATACATGTACCTTCTGTTCTATCTGTTTACTCGATTCTTCATTTTAGGCAGTTTACAATGTCTTGATGGGCCCTGTCAAAATGGGTTATCGTCTCCCACGCTCCAACAAGCATCGGTCCAGGAACTCACGACCGCCCAGCTTGCTGACTCCTCAGAGCAGGCGTCGTTCAGCAGCGACAAGAGCAGCACACCGGCGGACTGGGAAGATGATCCTGCCGAGGCCAGGCAACCCGGCGATGCGATACGGCACTCCGAAGTTCGGCATCGCAAACGACGCCCACCGCTACCCCCATCTTTGAAGTTCAACGGAGCCGACAGTGAGATTTGTTCTATACGAACTCATAAAATACTCTCGACTCAAATTTTCTCATCAGCTTACAACCCCCCAGAGAGAAATATGCATACGTACACAAACAGAAAGCCGAACAGTTACGATTTCGTAACTCTGAGCATCACGAATTGAATCAATCATCAGACGAAAAGCGAAATGTATACGTTATGTAACTAAAGATAGTTTGAGCAAAAGACTTTTCTGCTAAAAGCATCTGTAGATATTGTATAGATCATGCACCATCAGTTTTGTTAGACAAGGCGTATAGATGATTTTGTATGTCATGCACTGTCGTGAAGAAGATTGGATAACATACTCTGACTGTGTTGTCGTGCTGTCAACAGGCCCTGTTCTTTACGAGTTCTTGCTGGAGTTACTCAACCACTCTGCTACTTATAAGCATATCATCACTTGGGTAAGTTGTGGATACTAGTAGGAAATATTCTGCAGTATTCGTCTGTTTATGATCCGTACGTCCAGCCCAACATCTTATCACCGTGCGCAGAACGATTTCCCGACTCGTTTTCACACCCCGACTCAGGCACAATGAGACTACGACGTACTGGTACTCATCCCCAGACATACTCTCCGTTACTTCGGAAAGGGTACTAGTTTGACGAGAATCGGATATGCTTCTAAAAACTCCCCCCCCCCCCCCCCGTGGCCCTGTCTAACGTTAGCGTCGTTTCTACATTGGCTGCAGAACACGAGTAATAGACGTGTTTCACCGTAGCCGATGTGGGTCGATGTACGTTCCCCCGATCTTGGTGGCTGAAAACTGATACTCGACAAAGTTGACAATCCACGACATGCCATAACAGTATGAGCAAACACGGGGCAGGCATAAACGTCTAGTTTGCTACTAGTAGTACTCCTCAGCCCATGTCCCGGGGGCACCTTGAGGCAGACTGTTGACTCTGCTTACTCGTGTGTGATGTCAAAGGTCTGAACCGCACGTCTTGACATACATACATGGCTAGTAGATCGGATTTCAACTCAGAATATACGTGCTATAAAGCGTAGTGGTACGAAACCTTTTTTTAAACATGATCCGCTCACCATCGTCTGGGGGATTTTGCCGCTGTCTTGCCCACCTGCAGATCAATAAATCTCAAGGCTTGTTTCGCTTGAACGACACGGAAAGTGTTGCGGCCCTCTGGGGAATACAGCGCAACAAGATGAGTATGAACTATGACAAGATGAGCAGGGCGCTGCGCTACTATCATAACGAGAAGACCAACATGTTCATTTTGGAAAAGGTAAATAAGTTAGTTATTGCCTTGTATGCTCGCTTATGTACATGTACTTGAAGTAAGTTATCATGCTGGCCCTTGCTGGGCGTCAGTTTCATCAATGACATCATACCGGGCATGGCATGCACGATGCAATCTGGGTGATGCGATAGATTTTCGGTTTACCACTCACAGTCCGCCACCATGACGTGATGAAATTGCAGTTCTCATTGGACTTGTATGCAACCTCATTGATCCAGCTCAGAACCAGTTGAAAGATCGGTGCTTACTCGCGAAGTATGTATTATAACAACCTTTGAAAAGCATTTCTTGACAGGGTGATGGGGTGACACTTGTAGTACGCGATATTATGGTTTTGAAAGGTGCTCTCTGAAACAAATACTTCTTCGAAGTAACGTTCGCGCGACTTCTGCGGCTAAGCGAAGCTCTTGATATTTGATCCTTTCTATTTTGTGATATTGCGATTTCTGTCACCTAATAGATCAAGACAGTGCGCCGAGTTTACCGATTTCTGTCAGATTCCCACTGGAACACGTACAGCTCGAAGGCTATTGGCTTCGACTATACCTACGCCGGCAACACAACACTGAGCAAGAACGGACGCTTATCGCGTCGTCCAATTATTCGCTGAACTCATTCATGCATTGCTCTATTTGTGTTGGCGCAGAATACCTTGAAAGACAATACCGGTAATGCATTGGCTGTGGAATTGCGCTGGATGTGTTTGCTTACATGTGTGCTATGTAGCGAGAACTGAATAACTACTAGTAGTGTATTGAAACTCGTTCTGGTGGTTCGGTATAGTTTTAGTGTTACGCCGTCACCGACGCTCGAGCGCAAATTATCATTATCTCAAAATCGTTGGTTCAATTCAGATTTGTGCGACATTTTGTACGGTGAAGAAATTTTACGTTGAAATTGAAATTGGCCCTTATTCTCACCAGACATGTACTTCGAAGTAATTTGTTGCAGTAAGCTATCGTAACATAAGTATCGTGCCGTTCAGTTGAGTGTGTCATGAAACGCATCCTAAAATGTTGTCTTTTAAAACTTGAGCTCCACTTCTATTGTACCTCAGTACGTGTCTCACTCAGACAACTACATTCAAGCTGCGTACGTTTTGAGGCTTGCAGCTACATTTCAGATGTTTTACCTCTCACTAATAAACAGTTTAGTGGTCATGAGTATAATACTTATCATGATTGTTGTTTCAAAGGATCAGTTGGGGAAGTGAACTGCCTGAAAAGAGAACAAAAACGCCAGACCCACTAGGACTCGAACCCGGGACCTTGATACTTCAAGTATGCATGAGCAATGCTCTAACCAACTGGGAACAGGCCACACCATGATTATTGTGTTTTACTATTTGGAGACCAATGTCAGGTTTTGGGGCAACCAAAACAACCACAATGCTACCAACAACGACGATGATGACGACGACGACGACGACGACGATGACGAGTGCAACTTGACGGACGTAAGGACCCAGGATAAATGCATTAGTGCACACGTTTGAGAGCACGAATTCTGTAACTTCATCTCATGCCTCTCTGATGTACTTTAATTAACCCACAGGGTAAACAGGAGACAGAGCAGAGGCCAAACAAATGAAAAAGAATATCAATGCTTCAAAAAGAAGCTCAATGACTATCCTCTTTAGTCGCTAACTATCTTTCACGATAGTTTGAATGACGGATGGGCTGAGGGTCAAAGGCTGATAGCTGTTTTGAGGTCTCTTCCAACCTGTCCCAGCTAGCACATATCAACGTGTAAACACCTTGAGAGTGCAGTGCATGGGCATCTGGGCATCATGTCTACGGACCCAGGCCCTGGCGGGTGTGCAGAACACCCTCATGAGTCATGTAGCCCGGCAGGACCAGAGAGTCTCACATCATACTACTGTACTAGTACTAGATGGAGGGATCTCTGGATCATGGAACGCGACACTGCGGCCACCCGCGCCACAACTGGCGCACCACTAAAATAATTATGGTCTCCTCCATCTGTCTCATAGCTGCTGATCGTGATAACGCTACTAGGTATGTACAGTGCTAGTGCTGCTCCGTGAAGTCCAGTCGCGTCAGTCAAGTACGCGCGAGCCCTAGACCTGCGAACACTGGGCTGCGAAATGGTGCAAGGCGCAAACTTGAGTGACGCGACTGGATTTCATTGAGCAGCACTGAGTCTGTAGGTACGTAGTGTGCATGAAGGATTGTACTAACATTCTTAAGTTATTGTTTGAATAATGAGCGAGTATTCAAGCTCACAGCTTCCCGTACAGACTTGGTGTACGGTATTGCAAGGACATGCATGAGCATCACGGTACATGTAGTAGCCACCGTGTTTTCCTTCTGTTCAGTTCACTTCGAATGCTAAAATTTTTTATAATGAGTCTTCTTCTATCGGCAGGTGTCACGATGCTGAACTAGCCAGGTGTCATTTTCCGCATACCATCACCCTCCGAGGAGCCTGATCCTCTGCTGTCCAATCAACCAATCAACCAGACCAATCAACGGTTTTCTTTGTTTTTCTCTTGTAAAAAAAAGTGTACAGTGCTGCTGGGCATGCGTGAGATTCTGATTGGCAGCATAGTGTGCGGTCGACCACGTTTTCCTGGAGACCAGGTTGTAGTTCTGTAGTTATGTAATCAGCATATTTTGTAAGAACATACCTTTTGATCTCTCCTGCTGATATCCACAGACTAGCTGGCGCCTGTCGCCAGTACGACCTGATTGGATACATACAATGCACACATCGGCAGACTGAAGTGACTGCCTACATGTGTACGAAACAAAGAGATTGAATTTAATAGAGACTTATTCGGAGGGAAACATATTGGCACAGGAAGAGACGAAGCCAAAATCCTTCCGCTTCCAAGCAGGACTTGAACCTTGTACTTGCAAGGGTGAAAGTGAGTGTGTGTGGTAAGCGCGTTTATGCGTGTGTGTGTTCCTGTGTGCACGCGCCCTTGTGTGTACTTTAATGTCTACTAGTAGTTGCTTTGAATATCATGCGGCGTGTGGGTACACTTCTCTGTGAGCAGATCTGACATTAGAACCATGCTTCACAGGGGTGATTCGACTACAGTTCCGTCAAACTATACAATGTACTGTCGTGGACATTGAAACCCGTTGGGAAGTCAAGCAGCAACGGGGCGTTTGGCCTAGCGCCTTGCAGCTGAGCTGACGAGAGCACTGCTCTTTCATTTTTACAGTGCGTAAGTGAACTACATAGTTCGCTTTTTTCTTTTTACTACAAAGCACTGGCCAGCAACATAAAAGGGGAGGTAGACAAAATGGGACAAGCGAACATTGACAACACAGAGGAGCCTGGCATGCGTTCCGATGAGGTAGGTCAACCTCCCCCGACCTAGTGGTCTCGGGTTCATCAGTTGGTCTACGCTTACAGGCGCTTTTGGGCCTCGTTTAAACCTGGCTTTGGAAATTTTAAGTTTTCATTGCTATCAGGTTCGGCCTCATATTCTCTGTGCTGCGCTGATGCGTCCACAAAGGACGGAACAGATCGTTCCGCAGATTGAGTAGTTCACTTACAAAGATGATAACGAGTACATAAGCAAGTTAGTGCTACTCTTGAGAATGGATGGCAAGGGCAATGATACAGTGGCGGGATACTGCACGCTATAAATACCCAACTCTATAAACTACATGTCCGTGTTTTCTCAGCGCGAACGCTGCTCTATGCTCGAACCAGCCCAACAAAACTCCCAGCGTCGAGTCACAATAAACACCATGAGCAGGTGGCAGTTTATCAGTTGTCTACGGGGAGATAAAAACACATTGCTGTGTCCGCCGCTCAGCCATGCAATCGTGCAGCAGTACACCGACATCTCACATTCACCGTGAGAGCAGAAATACGCCAGCGCCGCAGGTGCTGTGCAATGTGTCAGCCTGAAGACACCGGTAGCTATTTCGATCTGCGTGTCATTCACCTATTGACATCTTGTCATAAGAACACTGGCGATCAGCTGATCACGCGCGCAGACAGCAGCCGTCCGACAGATTGTGCAATGTCACTACCCAAGTCAACTACATGTACACCATAACTGAGTACCTCACCATCTCTCAGCAAAGGTAAAGGAGCTGCGTGCCAGTCGGTTCGACGCTAAGACGTACAACTCTCATCAGATTCTAAATCATTTTGGCGCCCGTGGCTGTAAGGCCACGAGTAGTTGTGAATTATTTTCATTGGTTGCTGGCCGCCCTGGCTGTGTGTATTACGAGATGTACTGCGTGCTAGCTCTTTCCTAGTCTTCCCTCACTGTATCTGTTCGTGCTGCTGCGAACACAGTAGTGAGTGACAACATCGCGCAGCGGGAGCACAAATCGGTATTTCCATGATGGGGTTTATGGCTAATGGTTTGCACGAAACCAAATCAATCTAGGTATGACATACAGTGAAACGTGGTTAGCAAGAACACTGAAAAGACAAATGTTTGCCTAAGAAGAACTAGTATCCGTAAGTCCATTGGATAAATCACTGTGTTTTCACTGGGTGTACACTACGGATCAGAAGAACTCTCGTTATTGCGAACAAATATCATCGGTCCCTTGGTGTTCGTCCTAAAGAGGTTTGACTGTACATGAAATGAGCTAAAAGCACGGGAGGGGCGGATGGGCCTAGCATGGTGAGCAGTGTCTCGTAGTGCAGGAGAAAATAGATGAAAGACTTTTAAGTACATGTACACCAGAGGCCAGATGGGCTGAGCTGAGTAGAGACTGTATGACTGTGATCTAGACAGCAGGCTTCATGGATATCAGAAGAGGGCTGGTTGAAGTTAGTTGTGCAGTGAACCTGGGGAGGTCCTAATGCGTAGGTATACGAGTCCTTTTGTTCGGCTCAGGCAAGATGGGTTGATGCTGACGAGCGTGTGGCAGTGCACAGAGGATTTTGATGTTATTGGCGTTCGTTTCGTTCGTAAGAGCTGTCGTGGAACTACCGGTAACGCTGGAAATGGTGGATGGAGCTGTACTGACTGGACTATGGGTGTGCTCAGGAACACTCTGGCTGCATGCACCCTTTTTTGGTTGCTTGGATGCTTCTGCGTTCGAGTCATGTTGGATAGCACGAGGCTGCCACCATGGGGCGAATGTCTTGGGCGCTGTATGCAAGTAGACTTGCCCTGTTAAGGTATCCTGTTCAAAAGTTTCGTGAACAACTGCTCGTTCTTCTGTCCGTGTATTCCGCTCTTTGCTTTCGGCAAATTGAGCCCTCTACGGACGGTGGATGAACTTTATGTTATAATATTTTATGAAAGTGCACATACCTATATAGAATGGCAGAGAACAACAACAACAACAGCAGCAAAAGAACATAGGGGATTGAAAGGGGTGTTGGTGCTATAAAGCTGTGCCGGTGAGGTGAAGTGCGCCATGAGGGAGAGGGAGAGAAGAAAGACTATGTGCGAAAGAATGAGAGCCAGAGCCAGAGAATGATGGAGAGAGAGAGAGAGAGAGAGAGAGAGAGAGAGAGAGAGAGAGAGAGAGAGAGAGAGAGAGAGAGAGAGAGAGAGAAAAGAGAGAGAGAGAGAGAGAGAGAGATGGGGGATGAGTGAGGGTGAAAGTGCCATAGTAGTTCATGAAGCTATGCCAATGTATCACCAGCTGCGTTGCTTGCAGTGGGGGGGGGCAAGACGGACACGTTACATCGGAGCTGCTGCCAGGCAGAGTAGCGTGCAGGCACTGGATAAACGAGAAAGGGGCCACCAAAAGGTGCAAAAATGAAAGAAGAATAGGAAGAAACACAAACGCAAAACATTCTGCACTGAGATGTTTCGGGAGCTCTAGGGAGCAAGGTACAGCTCAGTGGGGTAAAGACAAGGTGATCGTTGTGGAACTGGAGAATGGATTACTGTCAAAATTAGCCATAGAATGTTGTCGCCTACAACCAATCCTGGCGCATCAGGTGCTGACATAATTAGGCGTGACTTGAAAGCCTGCATTCCCTTCGATACAGGAGGCTCCGGGATGACTTGCTCAGGAATGTCGTTCCATGCTATATGAGTGTGTAGGGGAAAGACCTCAGTAGGTTGTTCGTTGCTGTCTGAGCACGTGGTCCTTGCAAATGGAAAGGGTGGCGAGAAGCTAGTTGTAGGCGGATTCTAGGAGTAGGTGCAGGCGCTGAAGG